CAAATTACTCTAAACGCCATCACTTAGCTGGTAGATTTCACTCACGCATTTCGTCTGGGATGGAAACGAAGTCATTTCTATACGCAGTCGCACATCTTGGATTTTGCGAAGTTTTGCAAATTTTCTTCGCGAGTCTGTGTCTTGACATGCAAGCCGAATAAGCACCGTCACGATTGGAAAAGCGATTCTAATTAACAGAAGTGCAAGTTCACAGGATGGAAACTTCTCAGACATAAAACCGTGAGTGTTTGCGTCAGCTACCAACGTTCTGTCGGTCAGTCAGAGTCATGAAAACTTGCCGAAGGAATTGTGCGAGGCATCAAACCGCGGTGAGCTTTGCACTCGCGCGAGGATCGTCGGGCTAGATAGTATTTTAATACGCGGCTTCATTGGTGAATTCAGGAATTGTCACACCCTGGATTGCATATGTGCGAACGTCGCAATCGTCGTGAGTTGGAACAAATCAGCTTAACCATTCTTAATCATATTATTATCCACTTGATGAAATCTTTTAAAGCTCATCATTCGTTAGATAATGCATTGATCCAGTGGTGCTGAAAATTTCATGATTGTATCTCATCTTACTAAGATATCAATCGTCAAACCTTAGCCACTTAACCCATCCGCTTACACTTAATACTCTCAATGCCATGGATTTTTCCGATGTTTTGGCCTGAGCTCCTGTTACCATCGCCNTTTGCAAACACAGACCGACTGATTGCAACACGCCTTGGCAGATTCCAGATTGCCCTCAAAGTTCTTGAGGTCTCGCTGGGAGATTTTTTGTTCAAGAGATATTGCTCCAAAATTTCGATTTTTTCCTCTTTGGTGTAGTGACTAGCCATGGTATCTCGCTGACTTGGTGGCAAAGTCACGCTAACATTATCCCAGATTGCAAAATGCTTTGACCCATCTGTTTACCTAACCTTCATTTCGACGACCTTGTGCTTTCTGGCCAAAAAAGTTATAGCCTTGCGCCGTAGGCCTCATGCGTCAGGGCGATGTTTTGGCCTCAGGCCAAAACATCGGAAAAATCCATGGCATTGAGAGTATTAAGTGTAAGCGGATGGGTTAAGTGGCTAAGGTTTGACGATTGATATCTTAGTAAGGAGATGAGATACAATCATGAAGTTTTCAGCACCACTGGATCAAGGCATTATCTAACGAATGATGAGCTTTAAAAGATTTCATCAAGTTGATAAGATCTTGGTTTCAGAGATTTTGTCAGAATCGATGTTTCAACTCAATAGATGGCGCTGCGATTAAGAAACTCTGTCCAATAATTTGGCATAGGTTGCTCTATATTGTGATCAAATTTCGTAAAGAACGGTTGCGTCCTTTCAGAGATATGAGCGTTCAAAGATGTAAAATTTAAATGAAACGCCCTGTATATATATGGAAAACATGAAATTATTAGATATATATTTTAAATATGACTCAGGGAATCATTACATGCTGAGGTTAAGCTTTTTATTACAGCAGTGCACGGGGAAGAGTAGAATCTCAGCCCCACAAGTACTTTATCTTCTCTATCCTAAAAGGAAGAGAGCTCCGTCGAACATCTACTCCTCCTCCCGAGGTTCCAGTTCGGGAGGGGGAAGCAGTAGGTCACTTTGGGACTCTTGAGTGCTGGTGCGGATGAGTTCTCGTGTCCTCGTCCAACCACCCTAGAGTTCTGAAGAACCTAAAGGAATAGGAGATTCAGTATATCAATTGTATAAAATGGGACTGATTGGCTCTTTACATACGCATGAATGCCAGGGGAAAATTAACATAAATTTTACGTAAAATGAATGTAAACATGCTGTTTGGAATGCAAACGGGAATGTTAATTTTACGTAAAATTGACGTTACTTTTATATCATCGTTTACATATCACAGAGGTGATATTTCTGCAAACGTGTTGACATTTTCTTGACAATGGTTTGCGTAAAAATGATATAAAATGGACAAAAAAGTTACATTCATCTTACGTAAAATTAGTATGAACATGCTGTTTGGGGTGGAACTTATGAACATTGAGAGCTGTAACTTGACATGAATGTGACTACTGAGAATAGGAGTTAAATGAAAATGAGTCTCGATACATCCCCTGGGGGAATTTTTTTCGAGGTGGAATGTTTTCAAAAAAATATCGGCGTGGCAAAATGGAAAGAAATTTGAAGGTGAAACTTGGCACACATATAAGTGACGTGATATTACTGAGTTGAGGGATAATTCAGCTTTCATGGTGCATCCCCTCCTTGCATAGCTTTTGGGTGGGTCGACTTTTCCAAACATGTTTCTTCACCAGCGAAAAGGGCAAACGTATAATATTGAGACTTCGTGGGCATGTAGTTCACTAAGGATGGATTACGGGAAAAAAAATTATGTTACTTTTCCGTTAAAACGACGCGATGGACATATTTTCCAAAAGGCGTATTTTCACCAATTTTCTGATCCAGCATGAGAAAGGTCGCATGAAAGTTTAAACTTAGCAAATAAGTAACTGACGGATAGCTAAGGAAAGAAAAAATTCTACTTTTATATATGGACGATCGTGAGTAGCTGACTGAATGACATGAGTAGCCATCCGCATGCTGAGTTCAGGAAAAGCTCTACGTTGGTGATGCATGCCTTAGGGGCACAACTTTCGGGGAACATTTTTGAAATAGTTCTCTTTGCTTCAAACGGAGGCTCATGGAAAGCTGAAACCTGGCAAGAACGTGACTGTTGACACACTCAGCTCAAATGTCAAACGTGAAATTTCCCCAAAAAATTTGGGTTCATATTTCTTGGGGACGTAACGTTTTCAAATAATTTTTCATATCCTACCGAATCAGGCAGAAATAGAAAAGTAGCTGGCCCACGCATTACGGACGTGATGTCGACTTAAGAAAAAATTCTACTTTTGTTGTGCGTCACCTCAAAGCACAGATTTTGGGTGAGTCCCTTTTCCAAATACATATTTTCCGCCAGCAAAAAGAGGAAACGTATAAGGGTGAAACTGGGTGGCATGGAGTTCCATGAGTCTACATTAAAATTTAAAAAAAAATTCGTTAAAACCCATCAGAGCACTTTTTTTCAGTCCCATTTTCCTGAATTTTTTTTTGATCCAACGAAACAGAGACAGAAGTATAATCTTCACTTTGAAGTATCTATTTAATGGCTGAGTACAGGAAAAATCCTCCTTTTGAAATGTCTCCTTAGCATAGATTATTGGAGGGAAGTGTTTCAATATGTATTCTCCTCCCTTACAAAAAGGGAAACAAGAAAATATTTAAAGTTAGGCACACCGAATCATAGAAGAAATGATTTTGATAAAAATCAAGACTTTCGACCCCATATTTCACGCATTTCAATGAGGACGTTCTTTAAATACGTGTTTCCCATTTCGCAAAATGTGAATTAATTAATCACTATACAAGTTAATGGAGCGCCGAAGGCGCTACCAGTACTAGACCAGTACTACCAGTACTTTCAGTACTAGCGCTAGTACTAGATACGGGGTGAACATGAAGTTATGTGGGACGTTTGCAGTGCCCTTGTGACCGTAGTCGATGGAGTTGGATTGGGAATTTTGAAGGGCTGTACAGATAATGACCTAAAATGATCATTTGCACCAAGAAAATCGAGATAGAGCGAATAAAATCCAAATTTATGGCATTATCGCCTGGATCTCTGGATCGTATAGGGCCCACGATGGACCTCAGTCTCAGTCCGATATGTAGGAAGACCCTATTCAGGGTTGCCTCAGTCAAGATAAATATGCTCGACAAGGCTGATCTACTCTGATTGTGTCCTGGCCAGATGGGTGAGTTCGATCTAGTCACTGGACGAGGTCAAGATATATAGGTAATTGAATGTTGTATGACAATTGAGCACCAGTCCTGCCATCTTATCTACTAGTATTTACCGAACAAGCTAGGTGTACCAGAGAAAAGTGCGACTGCGCAACACCATAGTTGTGAGGTATCCCCAGCGAGAACTTCTCTTGAGGAGAAGAATCCCGCATGAGAGTCATGGAAATGTAAAATGTTTCCTTTCATGGAGCGGGCCATTTTCCCTAATGGTTATCTTAAAAATTAGCGGCAAACATTTTTATCTTAGGAAAATGGACGTACCATTTCCAAAATGTTCTATCTGGAAAAAATGAGCTACATCTTTCTGGGACGGCTTTCTTATATTTCTTACATTTCTGGTACTTTTACTGTACCAAGAAAAAAAGAAAATTTAGTTACGTTCAAAAGCCAATTATGCAAGTCCCACCTTATTTTCAATAAAAATATATTCACTTAGATTTTCCCAGACTTCGTTTGCATATCGCAATATTTAGCCCGTTATTACAATTAGAATGTAACTAACATGTGCTGTCGTTCCACTAGGGGTTTTTATCATCATGAGTTACGAAATGCATCTCATATCTATGCATTATCAGTTTCAAAGACATCTAGATGGCTTGGTATTGAATCGTTGAAACTCATGTTGACGAATATGCATTTTTTCGAAAGACAGCTGAGCGACGCGGTCATACATCAAATAATTCATTAATGAAGTGCCTGTAGGTCATAAGGTTTAGGTCACGCGTGCTATCAAATTTAAGGTGACACAGGCAAACTTTCTCTCTGTGAAAAATGGAGCTAACCGTACTTTGGGCAAGAAAGAAACCAGCAGATTTTTTCGATGATATTCCAGCATGTGCAATGATGCCGACTGAATCTTGCGGTAGTAAATTAATACCCATTGTGATGAATGGAAGTTGAAAATATTTATTGAATCTTTTTTATACTTGATATTTGAAAACATGACATGAATATTAGTAGATATTTTTATTATTAGAAGGAAGACTTGATGAATCCCACGCTTTCGCCAACGAGTTGGCAAAATTCATTGGAGGGGGGGGGGGAGGGGAGACTATAAGCTTCAATAATAGGATTTCTATACGTTTCAGGAGTTTTAATGAACCCATACTGAATAAACGTTTGAAATTTTTCATTGAATAGACCTTAAACGGGTCAGCATTAACAGTGTGTTTCCATGACGAGACCGGTGATTTCGTTTGCATCGTCTGGTTCAATCAATCGGGTTTCATTGTTTGTATCATTCTCTGAAAAGACATCTGGCATTCCGTTCGTCAATTGGATTTCCGATTCGGTTCTTAGATTGAAGCCACTTAAACGACCCGGCTCATTTGTAGAGGAAAAATCTCCATCAAGAGTGGCGGTATGGTTCGGGTCCCTTTCTTCAAGAGCAGGTTGATCATCCATGACTTCCCCTGGTTCGATCCCATCTCCGGGTTCACCGGGGGAAAGCAATTCGAGGAAGTCCGTATTCGTCTGGAAATATTCTTTGTTCATTTCCAGGAAGGGGGCAGTCAGTTCGTTGTAGTTCTGCAAGAGAATTCGTTGAATATGTTCTCGTAATCGTGGTAGGAATCGATTGAAAGCGGGATGGGAGCAAGATGGAGTCACCTGACGTTCAGTCTCTGTCATCATGCCGCAGAACCAGCGACTCAAAGTGGGGAAACTCGGCCGCCGGCTCGGTTCAAGGTTCCAGCACTTCTCCATAATTTGATAGCTGAAGAACAAGAAATAAGTGAAGAGGGAGAACATTCGGCGCATGTCATCACCGTGGATATCGAAGTTGATGATCTCACATGTGTTTGTTAGCGTATTCGGGAGTCTCCAAGCGACGATTCCCCTGAAGATGGGCGATGAGGGATTCTCGATCCATGCCCGGATATGGAGGCTTCCCGAAGCTAAACATCTCCCACAGAGTTACGCCATATGCCCAAACATCTGACTTACTTGTACAAATATCTTCGGTCAGGGACTCCAAAGCCATCCATTTTATTGGCAATGGTTCCTAAATGCGCATATAATGTATTATTTATTGATGAATATCATATGCTGTTGGAGGTGCTTAATTAATTTGTTTAGCTCTCGAAAAACCGCACTTGGATGGGTATAGCTGGACGCCAAACCGATTTTTCAATCGGTGCTGGTTTTGCTTGAAGTTTATGTAATATTAGCAAGTTTGTTGCCGTTTGGGAAACAAACACGCTATCGTCCGTTCTTCGGCGCTCAGTTTTCTAGGATAATATTAAATAATTAGAACGATCCGTATTTTCTATTTGAAAAATCTCCGAGGGGGGGGGCATTGCCATATTTATAACTGTGTTAAATTCTATTCTTTTTAAGCCTTGTATTCTCCCCTTGGTGCAATTGATTTTTCAGGAACAAGGTGCGATTACAGACAATACACAACACTTGCTATTTACATTACAGCTGTAATATACATCCAAAAATTATTTTTGGTACATAGCATTGACAAAGCAGGAAATTTAAAAAGGGACCTCTGTCCCGGTTAGGACCTCAAAGGTTTAAAAATGTGACACGGAGAGATTCTTCGTTACGATAATTTAGCTATCTGAACTCGCTCAAATCGCTCTAGGGTGAACATTTATTTGGAACGTGCTACGTGTAGAAAATTTACGTTGCATTCAAATGTACTTTTAAAAAGAACATGAATTTCATTTGAATGATATTTTCTACGTAATCTTAATGGAATTTAATTGCTTTGTATTAGCCTCTATACTGAAAAAATGAATTTCATCTAATATATATAGACGATCGTGACTGACTGACTGACGCTAATTCAAACCATGTTTTAACCATGTTGATATTTTGAACTTTAAAATATCACTCCAAAAAGTATGCCGAAAATATGAATATTTCGAAAGAGCTATTTTTCAGATAAGCATTTGGATAAGTAACTTTGTGCCTAATTTTCAGTTTTTGCCTTTCCGTTTTGTAAGAGCAAATATTTTCAGATGCACCTGCGATTAAAAATTTAAAGTCACTGTGGGATGTTCTCTAAGAATAGAAAACTTCCTAAAATCAGGTAACCAAGAACTGCAGGATCCTCAAATATCATTTGTCTATTTTCACACGAAAACAGTATTTGGTATAAAATTCGGCAAAAAAACTATTCAGGATGAACCTCACTTAATGAAAGTCCTTCGAACAGTGGCGTGGCCATGGTTGGGAAGGGGGGGGAAGGGAGTTTTAGGGGGCCTTTATCTCCCCTTCCTTGGGGATTAATTTTATGGATTCCATTCCACAATACTTTTACTTTTCGCCACAAATACACAGAGGATTTTCAATGTTTCATGTGCCAACCCACTCATTGAGAGTTTTCCGGCATATAACAACTTCATGGTATTGGTCTCGAGAGAAGCCCCGGTAACATATACCTACAACGTCGGATTTTGTGAACTGCTCACGTTAATAGCTACTTGTGTACCGAATGTCAGTTTCTAACTTCTTTAGAACATCGTTCCAATTAGCGTCAGTCACGCAGTCACTCTTTGCTGACGATCGTCTATATATTAACACTAGCGAGTTTGTTTACCCTTCGGGCAAACAATCTCGCTATGGTTGCGCCTTGGGCACTCCATTTTCCAGGTTAGTGATTCATTCATTAAATTTATTTCTAAGTGGCGAAAACGCATTAAGGGTTTGTGTCTGTCGAAATATGTGCCGAGAGAGAAAAAACCGATGTTTTCATCAAAATAATTACTTCGATTATTTATTGTCTGCCTAACTTCAAATCTCTTCATTATTTGCCCTGAAGGGTCACATTTAAAAGGACGATATGCACGCAGCAATCGAACAGGTTCTTCTGCTCCAAGTTTCAACTTTCTTCAGTTCTCTTTTTCATTGGATGAGAAAAGATTCGGAAGAAGGCACCTTTTACAAAAAATGTGTCCCCATGGGGTTTACCTTTGAATTAGCATTTATTAGTGAAATTAGTACTCGGAGAACGGCGTGCCAACCAAGTTTCAGCCTTATTCGTTTGCACTCGTGGTTGGCTCTTCATCTGTCGCATCTCTGATTTTAGCGGCAACATCGACTGGGGTTCACGATCTGCTTGTTGCAAACACAACCCATATCCTCGAACTTTACGAGAGCTTATTTCGAGCAGGGCCGCAAATGATGGGCAATAACAACATTACACTTGTTTGTGCAGAAAAGCTATATTATTTCGTCTCTCTGCTTCTTAGTCGAAGTCATCACATTTCTATCTATGACCGAAAATTGTTACATATTTTCATTAATGGTTCAATTGTACCAAGAGTGCAAATATAAGCGGGAAAAATTAAATTGAAAAAATTATCAAAACAGTCCTAAATAAAATTCCATGGCCCCCTATGTATCCACCTAAAATTTCACTGCCGTTCCGATCCAGAGATATTGAACTACAAAAGTGTTCTTTTTTTCAATGGACACACTGTAAATCGATACAAGGGGTTTGTTTCCCCTTGGGGGGAAATATTTTTTACCTGTTATCTTCGCCGTCATGTTAGGAACTACACATCAAAATTCAAGATGATGTATATCTTCCCTCTTCCATCGTTACTCATACTAACATAACCATAAAGACGAAGTGGTCTACGTCTAACAAATTATTAGTTCGAATTCCGCACGGAAGAGTGAATATTCCAGTGACAGTCTAATCAGAAGGGAGGAAAAGTGGTATTTATCGATGGAGCAGTTCATCCATTACATTACGAAAGAGCACATAACCTTTCAGCCCTTCATATATGCCAACTATTCCTTAAAACCGTATTTCAGCCTCCAAAACAATCACCCCAAGAGAACCAGAAGGAACTCACATCTCCTTTCTTCCTGTATTGATTGTCCATGTAAAGGTTCCTGGCGAGACCGAAGTCACATATCTTCACGACGAAATTTTCTGCCAGTAACACGTTCCTTGCCGCCAAATCCCGATGAATGACCTGCAACGAGATGAATGCACAATCTGCTTTTATCACCTTTGGCAACAATTTGCACGAGAAGATATCATGAAATAAGGTTTCCTAATGTTTTGCTCCAAACTGACTCATTTTAGCATCCAAGATATTACGTACACAGATGAACAAATACGATTACATCAAATATTTTTCAACATAGCTGCCAAACTATTCAGGCACTCATTATATTGCGAGCTGTGATAGTTTTGTGCAAAAAAATTGGGTTCCCTATTATGTGATACTAGCGAGTTTGTTTGCCCTTCGGAGAAACAAACTCGGTATGGTCGCGCCATCGGCGCTCCATTACCTTGGATAGTGATTAATTAATTTATTCTTTACGAAATGGCAAACACGTATTTAAAGTACGTCCCCATTGAAATGCGTGAAATATGGGGACGGAAGTTTTTTTTTTTTTCAAAATAATCACTTCCATTATTTCTGGAGTGCTTTACTTGAAATCTTTTCATGTGTCCCTTTTTGTAAGGGTGGAGAATACATTTTGAAATACTTCCCTCCTATAATCTACGCAAATGGGGCATATTTGAAATATTGGATTTTTCTGTAATCAGACATCGAATAGGTACTTTTGAGGAAAGTTTAAATTTTTTGTCTCTGTTTCATTGGATCGAAAAATAATTCAGTAAAATGGGACTTGAAAAGAAGTGCCCTGATGGGTTTTACCAAAATTTTTTTTCCTTCTGAATTTTAGACTCAGGGAACTACGTGTCTCCCAGTTTCAGTCTTATACGTTTTCCCTTTTTACTGGCGGTAAAAAAAAAATTGGAAAAGGGACCCACTCAAAAGCTGTGCTCTGAGGAGACGCGCAGCAAAAGATGAATTTTTCCTGAAATCAACATCACGTCCGTTATGCGTGCGCCAGCTGCTATTTTTCTATTTCTGCCCAATTCGCAAGGATAAACATAACGTCTCCAAGAAATATCCGACCCAAAATTCCACTATTTTGGAAATTTGAGATTTTTCCTGAGCTCAGTGCTTCAGCAGTCACGTTTTCCAAGTTTTATCGGTAGGCATGTCCATGCCAAGTTTCAGCTTTCCATGTCTCTCCGTTTTACTAAAGTAAAAACGTTGTTACTGAGGGGGAATCAGTAACGCGACTTGAAAGGCACAAGAGGCAGAAATAAAGCCATGGAATGGCCGCGAATTGAACCAGGGCCTTCTGATTGCCGGTGAGGTGAGCCACCACTAAGCCACCGAACCCAGGACATCTAGTCATGCCTCTCGATGCTATTCTAATCCGTAACAATATATCAATATATCTTTAATAACTTCTCCCGAAATGTGTACCCGCAGGGCATGTACCTCCAATGGCGGATTTTTTCTGAACTCTGCATCCCAACAGGTAAATGTGTACCAAGTTTCAGATATCTAACTTCTCTTGAACATGGTTAGAATTAGCGTCAGTCAGTCAGTCACGATCGT